CAAGGTCCTGAATTCAATCCCTAGTACTGAGGGGAAAAAAAAGTCTGACAGATAAAATTAATATTAAAAAGATTCTTATCGTGAGCACATAGATCTTTATGCACAAATTCAATGTAAAGCACATTATTTCAAAAATTCTCTTCAATTCTTTGGATGTAATCATTCTGTTCATTCAGGTTCCAACCAAAAAAACCACAATCTATGGTCAAATCCTGAAATAAAATCATTAAATCCATAAAAAAAGGAAAAAGATTCTTACTGAGCAAAATGCATCTCCTATTACTTTCTACAAAACACTTCTTGAGTGGGAACCCTTAACACTGGGGTGGAGATGTGGTTGTGTGTGTATGTTTTGTGTTTTTGCTATGCTGGGCACTGAACCCAGGGTTTCCCACATGCTAGGCAGGCAGGCTACCACTGAACTTTATTTCCCCAACCCCAGCCTGTGAAACATGTTTTTATAAACATTTAATCCTGGAATAAGCTCATCCTTCAAATGAATTGTAAACAAAGGTTATTCTGTGCCAAAGAATAACACTCACAGTCTGCTGGTGCACACCTATAATACCAGCACTCAGGAGGCTGAGGAAGGAACTCAAGATCAGTTCAGACTACACGGAGTTCAAGATCAGCCTGGAATACATAGCGGAATCTCTCTCAAAAAATAAACTAAAATAAAATAAAAATAAAAATCCAGATTGGTGTCTTCACAAAAATTGATAAGTAATCCTACATGTCATGTAGAAATTCAAGGGACTAAAACTGGGCATGATGGCACATGCCTGTAATCCCAGCACTTGGGAGGCTGAGGCAGAAGGATTACTGTGAGCTGGAGGCCAGCCTGGGCAACACAGTTCAGTGCCAGCCTAGACTATATAGCAAGACCCTTTCTCAAAAATAAAATAAAATAGATTAAAAGGAGAGAGGCAGTGAGGATGTAGCTTAGTGCTCCAGTCAATCCCAGTACACACACACACATACACACACACACACACACACACACACACACACACACACACATACAAAAAGACCCAGGCATTATGTCACACACCTGTAACCTGAGCACTTGGAAAGCAGAGGGCAGCAGGGCTGCTGTGAATTCAAGGCCAGTTTGGGCTATATAGTGAGTTCAAGGCCAGCCTGGACTACATAGGGAAACTTTGTTTCAAAAAAAGGCATCAGGGACTGGAGGTATAGTTCTATAGTACAGTACTACAGTACAGTTCTATAGTTTAGCATGCACAAACCTCCAGTATTAGCCCCAGCACTAAAAAAGAGAAGGGTGGCTAATTCATTGAATGGATGTAAATATCTGTAAATCATATATCTGATAGATGATTTGTATCCTAAATATATTAATAACTGCTACAACCCCAAAATAAAAAGACACCGAGTTCAATCCCTGGTACTTAAAAAAAAAAAAAAAAAAAAACAACAAAAACCAAGGTTAGGCTGGGCATGGTGGCACACACCTGTAATCCCAGCACTTGGGAGGCTGAGGCAGGAGGATCGCTGTGAGTTTGAGACCGGCCTGAGCTACATAGTGAATTCCAGGGTCAGTCTCAACTACATAGTGAGACCCAGTCTCAAAAAACCCATAAATAAATAAATAAATAAATAAATAAATAAATAAATAAATAAATAAACAAACTGGGCATGGTGGTGGCACACGCCTGTAATCGCAGCACCCAGGAAGCTGAGGCAGGAGGATTGCTGCGAGTTCGAGGCCAGCCTGGGCT